TTTGCCTCTCCAACAATTGTGGATCTCTCTGTTATTTGTTGTTAACGCGGAGGAGGAGGAGGAGGCACCACGGGAGCCGAGAGCGGTCGCAGGTCTGGGACGCGGGGACGCGCTCCGTTGTTAGTGGCGGAGCAGATGTCAGGGCTGGAGTCTCCCGTAATACGATCCATGGGAATGGAAAGGGGGCCGGTCAAGCCTCTGTTTGTGGATGAGGACTGAGGAGGAGGGGTCAAGGAGGAACACCCACTCCTTTCCTCCCTCCTCTCCTTCCTCCAGGCCCCCCCCCCATACAAACAAAAGTGAAGCATGCCTTCCCATTGAACAATTGACTTGCAGAGGAGGATTTCCTCGGTTTCTCATGTGTATTCACACACGCGTCTGTTAATGGTGATTTGCGCCGCTCAGAGGCTCTAAAGTTGTTCTCAGGAAACAGTAGCATGTGGACCGGGATCACCTCACTTCGCATCACTTCATCTCTTGAGTCAACATGACAAAAGACTGAGAATTAATTCAATTCTAAATGATTTCCTGTGACTGAAAGGAGTAGCACAGTTTGGGGAATACGCTGACTGTGGGTTATTATTATAGTTGGGTGAGAAAGATTGATACCTCTTTATACTAATATGGTCAATAAAAAGCTACAGCCAGGCCTGTGCTAAGATAAGCTAACCGGGCTAGTGGTAGCCAGAAATACTCATGGGGTGGCAAGAGGATGATATGGAGACTTTAAGGGGCGGCAGAAATATATACTTATTTTATTGTAAACAATAATATATTAATATTTAAACAGCCAAGCCCAAAATGAAGACATTTTAAATCAAAAACATTATATTATTGTGGCATATTTGTAAAGCATTGAATATCAAAAGCTGGCAAATCTGTAGACATTTAAATTAATCCAAATTAATGTGTTAAATTTGACTACATCTGACACCAAGCTGGGGTGGCCACTAGCCACGCATTCTTGGCAGCTGTCACCCAATGGCACCCCTCTGGATCTGCCCCTGGTAGGTAGCAGCTTCTGATTTACCCTATAGACATGAAAAATGCTATTACTCTTCTCATCTAACTCTCAACAAGAAAGCAAATAAGTATATTTCCCAAAAATGTTGAACTATTTGTAAAAAATAAGTTAATTTGGGCTAAAACAGATTTGAAATAATTGAAGCGTCTAACAAGCCAGTTTGTCACTTTATAATGTTATGGTGGTAGATTAATTAATCAGGTTTATTAGCGGTTTAGCAGTCCACCATAACCCATTACATTCAGTCTGACAGGGAGAGTTAGAGGCCACCAGAGTGTAATGTATTTTAACCACATCATCACTGGTCTGTTATGGAGTAGCTACGGGGGCAGGGGTCACCCCACAGCATTCTTGATAAACATCCTGTCACTTTCTAACCTTGCACATCTGCCATACACACCTTCCTCTCTCATCTGTCAGCTTCATTTTTTTTTTCCGCGGGAGAGCATCCACTCCAGCAGGCAGACCTCTTTGTGAAACATGGCTCAGTTCAGCCAAAGACTGCAGCCCACGTGAGCAGACAGACCAGCCCTGGAGGGATAGTTTTTTATCAAACTCTTTTACCACATCATTTCCTTTGCTTTCACTCCCCTTGGGTCATGTCAGTAGAGTTTGCTTACAAAGCAATTACGTGATCAGTGTTGTGCCATGTAATAGTATCCTTTATACTTATTATAAAGAAGAAAAACATGACTTCTGCTGTGGTTATTTATAGAGCAACCAGATACCAGCATCCTGTCATGAGAGCAGGATTTATAAACAAGCGCAAGAGCCATAAACATGAGTACTGTTGGAACAAAAAGAAACTGAGAATGACAGAAAGAAAACAAAATCATACTTTTATTAAGTTGCGGTGTCTAGATTAAGAACTATGTCTGGTTTGGTATCTTCCCCTCCTGCCCACGTGGACAGACATGAGGTAGCGAGGCTGGGACTGGAGCCCAGTCCCTGTGCTCTCACCACAGCACTCACTGGCATCTCTGAGAAAACAGCTATAAAACAGAAAATATCCCCAACACAGATGTTGACATTCCTCACCACCATCAAACCCCCCCTGGAAAAAAGGGGTCTATTCTATTCTCTGCCATACCACTGATGCATGTGCGTCTGCAAGAGTTTCCTTAATTCAACAGGGATGGGTTTTAGTGAGGAAAAAATGTGATGGTTTCTGTTTCGCCCAGTAAGGCCGTGCAACTGAAAGCAATCATCAGGCCTAAACACATCAAGCTGGGGAGACTCAGAAGATTTTGAAGGCTTATATAACCGACTTTAGGGGCTTTGACTTCTGGGTACGTTTTCATCCACCATTGTGCGATAATGCCTGTTTATTTTTCAGCCTTTACCAAGGCTGTGTGTTTCGCCTCATTCAACGGCGAGACCAGAGGAAAATAATTTATCATTTTAGTCGCAGGGGAAACACAATAGAAGCAATCTGACATTTACTCAGCTTGTAGGTAAGTAATTGAAATCTGGATAACATTAGGTATTATATTGTAACACGCTATTATGTAAGGTTACAAGGTAGGAACTTTATAGAAAACGCCTGTTTATTTTTCTAATCTTTTCCTTATTTTCTGCCCCTGTTCACTTCCTGCTCCTTCTGCACGGCATTTCGGCTTCCCTCTAACCTTGACCCAGCCGCAGAAGCAGCTCTCCTCGATACAAAAAGGGAAACGCAGGCTCTGTGGTATATTGTGACCTTTCACCTCAGAGCCCGGTCCTAACCATGATTCAGCCCGAGCCCTTGTCTTGCCTGGTTTATCGCCCGTAGTGAAGGATAACATTAGGGAAGCTGGTCAGGCTGTTATGCAATTTTTCTGATGCTTTCAACCTTATGGTGAGCTCACCTGCAAGGAATCATAAAGACACACACAGTATGAACATGGGCCTCTGGTTTTCCTTATGATAAGATAAGATCAACTATATTAATCCCACGCCTGGAAAAAGAAACTGAGCATACGGACGGACAGCAGAGAAGTGGATTATACAAACAACGTGTTTGAGAAATTCCTGTGGGTGTTTTGATACTTTTTTTTCCAGCATGAAAGCTTGTCACCATTGGAATCCATTTTAACAGAATGAATTCAAGCTGCTATTTTCTGTCTGTGAGGAAAGCATTTAACAGCCACCTTTCAAACCCACAGGGGGTGAGAGCTTGATACTCAAAAGATAGAATTTAGGTGGAGCACCAGTTTTAGAGCATTCACAGCCTTATATAGTGTGCTTTTGGCACCACGTTTACTGTTTTGTGATCGCTTTCTTAATGGAAAATATGTAGACTGCAGAGGTCTAGAATTAGTGAAATTTGTCCTACGAAAGCAAATGGAAGGACTAACAGAAACTCCAAATTACTGTAAATAAGTAAACAAAATCTTCAGAAGCCCCTGTAAGTAATGAAAGATAGGACAGAGGGAGATCTCATTTAATTTGTTTTATAAATATTTAAATATATCGTCCTTGTATTGACACATATATGTGTCTAATTGGTTTTTCTGCCAAAAAAATTATAATTTTCAAATTAAAAATCGACCCGTTCTACCTTATTAAAACATGCAGAATCTATGAATATGCAAATTGTGCTTATTTCTGAAGTGTTCCTGCTGGACACAAGATCACACTTGTATAAGCTGCATAATGGACCAGGATTGACTTTAATTTATGACTTTCAATGAGCAAAGACAAACCTTTCCAGCTTTCTAACTTTCAACAGATGAGTATGAAAACCTCCTTCTAGTGTCAAAGTCTGCACATACAAGCTCAAATATTCAAATGTAGGAACAAGAAGAAACCATGTTTTTGACTGAGGGGGGAGTTTAACCTCATTTAACTGCTTTAAAGGTAAAAAAAAGTTTAAATCTTAATTTTCCTCTCAATCTTAATATCTGCCACCTTGCATATAGAAGTACCATACCAGTGTATTTCTGTGTTTTAGCTAGTTTACTACAAATTGTGTACAGTCAAAGGTTTAATTTCCACTGTAGGTGGAGATATGCCCCCTCACATTTCAGTACCTTTTATCCCATACTTTTACAGTTTGAGTCTGATTTACTCACTAAAAACTCCATAAACTGTCCTTTTTTACTTGTCAAAAAACGTTGATCTGCTCACCTGATTTGCCTTCAGTTATTACCCTGTAAGTTTTATGAGCAGCAGTGGGTGATTTGTGGACAGTTTTTGCCTGAGGTTAGAAGAAGATTTGCAGGAAAGATTTAGAACTAAGAAAAAGTACTTCCACCTCATCTGCATGTTTTGAAAAAAAAAGTTGAATCCATATTTATTTATTTTTTTACAGTTGATATTTCATAAAAACAGAGTAGCATCAAAATCACAAAGAGATAAGATGGAAATACAACATTATCTATTATAAGTATCAGGTCTCTATTAGGGAAACTAAACATGATTTTAATTAGGTTGAGTTCACTGATAATATATTATTTCATATAGTTTTTGTTTTGCTAGCTTTATTATGGAAAACACAATAACCAGAAATGGCATCTTCTGTCTTCTTTTTATCGAAGACGCTCTGACTGAAAGATGAAACTTGCTTACAATAGTTCATCTATAATCTTATATTATATATGATATAGTCTCTTATATCGTCTATATCATCTTATATTTTGTTATTGTAATATGTGGGCAGAAAGGCAAATTCCAACAACAATTATTGATGAGGTGAAACAATCCCATACATTTGGAAGTTTCTTGCATAAAAAAGGTTGCAGTTCAGCAGCGAAAGTCCAAGATGGAGAAGCTACCCAGCAGCACCTGAACAACTATGCTGATCATAAAATGACATTTTTGACAAAATGATAAGAATTACATATTGTTGCTGGAACTCTTAATAATAATAAGGTAGCTGTAACTGACCCCTTGTAGCCTCCAACTTGGTTCAGCAGCTGGCTCCTATCACTCCTTTGGGCCAGAGGGGTTTGAGTGCTCTTCGATGCTGAATTGCCTCTTTGAACGTGACACACCACAACCCCACACATCAACACATCGCAGATGGACATAAAGTTGTCCTGGGAGAGGGATCGCAATCTGTGGCATGCACTCTTTGCGCTGCATATTCCACACAAGTCTTCAAACAGGGGGTGGATGGCTAATGAATGAGCTAATGTAAACTAAACTGCCCACCCAACCGCTGAGATAGACTCTCCCTCGGGCCCTCTGCATCTCTTTCTGTCTTTCCATTCATCTCCGCTTCCTTTCCTTTCATCCGCCCGTCTTTTCTTGCCTGTTTGTTCATTCCTCTCTTCTTCCCATATCTTATTATTACTTCCTAAACCTCCCAATTTACATCCTTTTCTTACCCACCCAAGTTCTGGTGCCCTCACAGCTCAGAGAGGTGGAGAATCCTCCTCAAAGTTAACATTGGGCTCACTAGCTCCATGTGAGCCTGTGGAATTTCCTATGTAGTTTGCCTGGCAGGTCCCTCTCTCCTCCTAAAGGAACCCCCAGACACGTGTGCTTCTGTATACATGTCACAAAGATCGGGGCAGAGATAGAGGAGGCTCGGGCACGTGTAAAGACAGAAAAAGGTTTGAGGGGAGAAGGGTGAGCAAGCTAGACAGAAAAGGGGGCTGAAAACCCTCAGCTACAGTATGCATGGGCCACGTGAATCACTTTATTGGGACTACTTGACCTCCACACACATGCACCCACCCCCCGAGCCTTGTACACACACAAACAAAAACTGCGCCAGACACACAAATAAAATAATACTGTGGCTGGATTGCTATAAACACAAGTATTCATTCACTAAAGCAAACAAACAGAAAACATTTTAACATGCCAAGCTTGGGAAATGATTAAGCAGCATTTCCTCTCTTTTAAATGTGGAAAATATTCTTTGAACTGGACTCATTAAAAGCTGTCAGTGTGTGTGCAATCTCAAAAATGTGACTAAATCCATATTTGGATGCACAATTAAACAGCCGTTCCTTCTCGCCTGTGCTAAAAATGTTTCTGCCCTCATCCAGAATATCTGTCTTTTTAACAACGTCCATGACATATGTAACCCTGTATGAGGAAACACAGACATCTGTAAACTCGCCACAGAGCAGCAGCAGCAGCAACACAGATCCAAACTGACGTCTGGAACTAAGCAAACAGTCACATGGTGAACATCACATACACATAAATACCCTGCTATGTAAAAATATAAATCTGTGTAAAGCCTACAAACAGACATAGACAAGGACATTCAGCAAGTTGACATATTTCCACTCTCTCCTCCTGGTAAAACTCCAATCAATTTATCACAGCTGAGCCCTTGAATCTGTTTATTTGATCTCCAGCAAGGACATGACAACCCAAATTATTTGGAGAATAAACACTATCAGTGATGATGCTCTGTCGTCGTGATTCATTTCAATTAAAACTAATGAGCTGATTTTGCTCTTACAGTGACAGTGTTGGCTCTTATTTATCCAATCGGAGTTCCTACTGTGAGACAAATGAGACAAACTGAAAAGTTTCCAAGCTCATCCCGGTTAAAAAAAAAAAAAAGAAGAAGCTCAATCTTGTCTACACAGGAACCAAAATTAACTCTGTGCAGGATGAAGCATTTCAGCAAAGACAGTGTTGATCCTCTCGCCATGGTGAGATTCACAGTGATGTGCCTCCCCCAGACACATAAAATAAACACAGTTACAATTGACATTCCACTTAAGAAAGAGTGACCCAGGTCAGATCAGTGTTTGGGCATCGCTGCCATTCCACATACTCCCTCCTGAGTCTGTCTAAAGTGTAAGGATGTGTGTGTGTGTGTGTGTGTGTGTGTGTGCAACTGTGCATGCCAGGCGTATCTGTGTGTACACACACGTGAACTCAAAGTGTGTGTGTCTTAGAAAATATGCTGCTTGAATCCAACGTGCTCTGAAAATAAACCGCAGGGTCAAGAAACAAGACAGAGAGAGGGAGTCCGTCAATGTGTAGCTGTGCGTTGGAGAGGAGGGGTTGTGGGGTGAAAAAAAATGTGCTTTCCCCTCTGTTTTCCTGTCTTCAGCGGGAACAGAACTCGTTGACTTTTCGGTGAACTATCCACTGTGCCTGTATCATGGGGAGGACACAACACGCACCCAGGGTTTGGTTTGGAGGAGCTCAAGCCCAGGAAGGAAGCTCGCCCTTGGGGTAGTTGCCCTTGGGAGTCAAGGATCTGGAGGTCACTCAAGACAAGCCTGTTAAATTCAACACCCACCAATAGAGAATGTATGTGGAGGAATGAGCAGAATCTTAAAGCAAACAGGCATTCTGCAAGAATGTTTAAACATTTATTACACAAAGTCATCAATCATATCGAACACAAAAATAAGGTTGTCAGTGTTAACTGTAAAACTATAAATTACTGAAACAACTACGATGACAGCTCATCCCTGACAGGTTTAATCTTCTGAAAGAGAATAACAGACAGGGTCTGTGGTTCTTTGAGCTAAATGATAACATGGTCCAGTGCTCATGATGACAGATATGTTTATTTTATTATGTTAATGATGACCATGTTTACCATCTTAGTTTAGCACAAAGTTAAAAGTTAAAAAATTATCATTAGTTTTGCAGGTATTTGGTCATAAACCAAGTATTAGGCAAATTAAGATAATAGCATCCTTTATTAATTAAAATTAAAAATGTATCCTGCACTAGAAGAAAACACTGGGGGTGACCAAAAAATTTGAACACGCCAGACAAGGATCCATTGTGATAGGATACTGGACCATGAATGTCTGTATGAAATGTTGTGCCAATCCAGACAAGTAGACTTATATATTTCACTGGATAATTAAAAGCTTATATCTGCTCATGGTGCCAGATGAGAAGTCAGAGGATCACAAAAGCCATTAGGATTCATCCTCTGGTGTATCTTAATATCTGTAGTAAGTTCCATGAAAATCCATCCAATATCTGTCAAGATATTTCAGTCTGTGGTGGACCAACCAACATGACCTTCTCAAGAGCGACATGCAGCCTGGTCATGGCTTGTTTACTTGCTGCCACCTAGTGTTATTTTATGTAAACAACACAAAAGTGAAATGCCCCCATCTTGGATATTAATATGAAACGTGCAATATTGTCATTTAAAAGGCCAGTTTAAAACATATAAGCCACTTTATGGATTAACACAGTGTGGGCTCAGAAACTACAAGTTTTAGCAGAAATCCTGTGGGAAAAACAGGAAACAGAATCCTTTTAATAAAGCCCTTTTTGATTGTTTTGTTCCATTTCCTTCATGTAATCCTGTTTTCTTTTTAAAGCCCATATGTGAAAATACTAACAAAAACAGGTATGAAAAAATGTGTATCATACTTCAGTATTTAGAAGATGCAGCACTACAACTTTCGTACAATATATAAAATCCACCCTGTTTAACCCTAAACAGACGTGAGAGAACTAAAAAAAAAACAACACATCATTTTCAAAGAGAATCTTTAATGAAAAATGCACGAGTGGTTGAAGAAACATTAATTCACAAAATCATCATAGTCAATGTGTTTTGTGCTACTTTCTTTAAAAAAAAAAAAAAACATAATGGAACATGTAGCATTTGTTTTTGGTATGAAATCAGAATGTGAATGTTTGTGCACAACCTGCTAGGATGGATCTCGAATGATTAGCAGTATTTTTGTTATGTTGTTCTCTTAAGGCCACTGGGAGGAATAACGAGGTCAGAGCAGACATGTAACACACACACACACACACACACACACATATTCACAAGGACATCCCATTGATCAAATGTCTTTTAAGGACATGTAGTCGCTACAGGGGATGCTACATCACAAAATAATATATTACAAAAAAAAATACTGTCAATCAAAGTAATTCTCAGTATTTTAAATTGAGCTCTATTTGTTGCATCATGTACTGTCCTGGATCTGTAACCTTTAAATTATGCTTATACCACTGATAGAAATGACATTCAAATCCTTATTAAACAATGAATTTAACCAGGATCCGTGAATAATTTCTGTATTAGTTTGACTACAATATTTCTGTCTTCTCTTTCTTGATTTGTATTTGATAGCAACTGGTAGGTAGTGATACAACACAACTCCTACAACGTACATGTACAACTTGGATAAGTAACTCAAGTATTCCAACCCATAACTCCTTGATGACTTAGTTACTCATCAAACAAAGTTATGACCTGTTGTACAGCAACTGAGCCAGCATCCTCAGCACTGTAGGACATGCTGAAAATGTTTGATGCTAGAGTCAGGAAGCAAGCTGGAAGCTCCAAAACACAGCATCTTGCACTTATAAGAGAATTGTGAACTGGATCCATGGGCATTCATTAAGCCTTGTGATAAAAGAGTTTTCCCAGTTGGGGTCAAGAGAAAAGACTTGTTAGTTTGTTGTGGTCCACGGGCTGCATAACCAACTCTTTGTGTCTCACAGTGAGGTTTCCTTGGATTCTGGCACAACTGGTTGGAAAGTCAAGATCTCTGTGAAGGTGTGACCTAAAGAGAGAAGAACAGCAGGACACTAATCAATAAAACACGACAGCTCATATTGTCTTCCTCCTTTCCCCTTCATCCTTCACTGATCTTATTTTTGCTTCTTTGCTTTGCTTCCTAATCAACCTCACAGCTCCTCCCTTTCATCCTTACGTTTCCACTGGTTAAGGGGCAGGTCTGTGTTGTCTAGTGAGTGGTCGTACGGCTGCGCTTCTGTCTCCTCCTCTGGGTCTCTGAACTCGGAGAAGTACGGCAGCGTGAGAGCCTCTGCAGCGCTTACCCTGCTCTCCGGATCCAGCAGCAACATGCGCTCCAGCACAGACACAGCTGAGGAAAGAGTGGAAACAGGAAATCAAATCAGAGTTTCACCTTCAAACTGATAATAGATTAAATTAAAAGGCTGAGCACATCTTACCCTGTGGTTCAGTGGTGGAAAACACCTTCTGTAGGTCTTTCTTTTCCACCTTTGGAAGACTTTTGATGTAGCTTTTGGCCTAAGAGACACAAATTATTACCATATTAGGACTGTGTGAGTGTAAGGTGTGCATGTTTATCTGTACATAAACTTAAAGATGCACACAATGATTTTTCCAAATTGTAGTCCAGAGGATTTGGGAGCATGTTTAGGTGCTACAACAAAATTATGGAGATTTAAGTTCTTGCTGTGAACTCACTTCCTCGGATTCTAGTTTTGTTATAAATTCCTGAGTCGGTGTTCCTGTGGTCTTCATGATCTCAGTCAGCTGATCTAGGTCTGAGGACCAGGGGTCAAGGGTCAAATGTGTCACATACACAGGGACATTTTTTCAAACAATTCCGGAGGAAAAATGGTTAAATGCTGCAATGATTTTGCAAAAAAAGTTTTTAGCTCTAGGAATGTCTGTAAGGTGTCAGTGGAGGGTCAGAGAGGTAGAAGGATACGGTCGCTGCCTTTAAAAAGAGGTTTTCCTTGCAGCATCTCTGCCATGATGCAGCCCACAGACCAAATGTCCACTGAGAAAGAAAGAGAAAACAAGACGTTTCAGACTTTCTGTTTCTGTTGCTGTAGCCCAGTGATCAGCAGCAAAAACTAGATGCATTACAGCAAAGCGCGTCCAAACTAAGGTATGGTGTTAAGAGATCACCATCTAGTGGATAACACTTATTATTGCCATCAGGTTCAACCAAACAAGATGTGATTTGAACACCACATCCTACTACAATGACAACGAAAATCTAACTGAACATTGTTTGAAAAATGTATTTGTAGGACCATTTTACAGTAATGAGGTGTATTTACAATGCAGTGGAGTTTTTAGCTGCTGTCTAGACTCGCCATTCTCACTCAGAAAACTGTTGCAGAAGAGGAATAAATACTAATTTATCAACTAACTATAGCTTCAATAGACCAGAATGTGTTGCAAGCACAAGACATGTGCATGAAAGCTACTAAAACAACAAGACTCTGCCTGTTCACTGGAGGTTGTAAAGGTCATTCGGTGAAACATAGTAAATCACTCGCAGAAGCAAAAGCAGAAGCACTAAGTTGAGGCCAAGTGAGTACACTCAAACAACTAATACATGCTACACCATAAAGTTACTTGAGGATTCGGTGCTAATGGGGAGCACTGAACATGATACAGTGATGAAAGATGATGGTGTGAGAGTGGGTTTTTTCCTTTAATTAGCTCTTCATTACCAGTCTGAGTGTAGTGCATCCAGCTCAGGATGACCTCTGGGGCTCTGTACCAGCGAGTCACCACGTACCCCGTCATCTCGGTGTCAGTCTGCCGTGCCAAACCAAAGTCCAAGATCTGACGGAACATGAAATGAAACACAGTGGAATTAGAAACACAAAAAGTACGTCTTACTCATACTGAGGTACCAGGTGTGGTAATAAGACTTTAGGGAAATTCTGGGTAATGCATTGACGGTTTTACAGTTACAGACTGTCCACTGATAAATTGTAACTCCATAAATTAAACATGTAGATATGAAGACACATGCTGCCTTGTGTTTGTTTGGGTTATGAGGGTGTACATATGTGTACCTTGAGCTCGCAGTCTTGGTTGATGGCGAGATTTCCTGGTTTGAGATCCTGCCAAAATTGATATGAAAAGACTATGACGATATATGAAGCAAGAGGAAAAGAAGAATCCAGCCATAACAGCGTAATAAAATGGGGAGGGTATAAGTTTGTACAGGAAACACCAACTCCCTGAACAATTTGAGTAACAATATATGAACACAATCTTTATCTCACACATACAGGGTGGAAACACACACATATAAAAGACAACTTACTCTGTGAATTATACCAGCAGAATGAATATACTGTAATAAAAGAATACAACAGGGATTTAATCAACAGAACAATCAAGTGGTAATAAATTATCCACAGCGTATGATCAAAGTAGAGTTCTCCACCTTAAGCCCTTTGAGCATCTGATAAACCAAATACTGAATTTTTTCTTCCGACAGCCTCTGCAGCTTCATCAGTTTCCCCAGATCCGTCCCCATGAACGGCATCACCAGATAACTTGAGGAAGATGGAAACATTATGAGTTGGATACATTTCAACTCGACGTGAAAAATGTTTGACAAAAGCTTTGTGCACAGGTAAGTTATAGGTTAATATAGCACAGCATAAAAATGCACTTACAAGTCGTGGAATATGTCCAGGGAGAGGGCAGAAGTAAACACATCTAATAGGCCAATCACCTGCAGACAGAAATATACACTGTATTACACGAGTGGAAATCATCTTCTGTCCTTTTGGTTGATTTTTTTGATTTTATAAGGATTGCTGTCATGATTACTGTAAAATTGCACTCATGTAAATAGAAATACAGTCCTTCCTATGTACTGATTATGCCGTATCTCACATTTTCATGCTTCATGTGCTTCAGAAGCCTCAGCTCCCTGTAGGCTCGCTTGGCGAAGAGCTCCGACTGGAAAGGCCTGTAGAGCTTCTTGATGGCCACTTTAGTTCCTATTCTGGAGTCCACTGCCGAGCTGAGGGCAAGAATATACCAGCCGGTGTGAAAGAAAATACACAGCAACTGTATTCCAAAGAACATCACCTGATCTGTGACATGGCCAGTATGAGGAAATAACCAAATCTGAAAACTTCTTTGTAATGGGGGGCCGGGAAAGGATCCCCCATCCTCTGATCTGAGTATGCATCTGAAGATTTATCTACCTTCTGATCAAGAATGTTATCATCACACACACTTACACCTTCACACACACACACACACACACCCTCTACTATCATTTCCCCTCATCTGGCTGTAGTGATCTGGCTGTAGCAGGCGGCTCCATCTCCAGCCTGTACCCGAACACATATTTTCGGAGTTGTTCATGCGTTATTAAGCTGCATTGAGTCCGTCGGAGCAGTTTAGTAGCCGCCCACAGAGTTAATCATTGATAACAAAGGGGGCCGCATGCGTCGAGACGCACAAAGGTGCTAGAAAAGCTGCTTGTCACTGTCGTGTATCAATAAACTTGGGTGAGCGCACCCATTTCACCCAGAACCACCCCCCTGCGCTCCACATAATTCAACAATGTAAGAAACGAGTAAAGATGACAGGGTGATTGTGGTGAAGCGACGGTCGGTGCAAGTGTCTCCATCATATAAGGAAGTGAAGCAGCATGTGTTCGGCGGAGCGCAGATACTTTTTCTTTTGTTCGGCTGTGGCACAGTGCGACTGCCTGTATGGCACCATCTGTTCCGCCGCTTTCTTTGTTACCGCGCTCCACATAAACCAGCAGTGCGTTCGGGGTTACAGCTTCATCCAGTTAGGCAGAGTTCACTTACCATACCGTCCCGTACGCTCCAGTCCCCACCTGCCTCAGATCCCGGTACCGCTCCGGTACTTCCCATGAGGTTTTGTTGACTTCTTGGCGGTAATAGCCGGGTCTGACTCGCTTAGACATCCTATTTTCTAAAAAAAAATCAAATAAGTCGTCTCGAAGAGGTTCTTCTTTGGTTGTTTTGTCTCTTACGTCGCTACACACCCATTGTCCCACCTATGCACTCACCCTCGATCATTGCGCAGCTCTGCGTGTCAGCCGCTCAGGGCGCACCCTGAGGTCACCAAAAGCCACTCCCGAGTCCTGCTGGAGGACTACAATTAAAAGGTGAATAGGAGACTGGAATGTAAGTAATACGACACTGGGCTGACAGCATTACTTAAAAACTGCGTTGGGAGGTGCGCACTCAACCTGAAAGTCGGCAAATCTGGCCAGGTTTAATGGCAACATTCATGGATACACTCATCAGTGCTGTGCCCCAATGTTCAGGAGTAGAAGCTTGAGACTTGCTGGGACACGATATAAGGGACGCCCTGGGGTGTAGACACACAGCTACGTGGGTAAACAGTTTCATGCCTCCAGGAAACAGAACAAGGAAATCACAATAATATAAATGAAGTAGAAATGACTGTCTGTGTAGGCATTTATTAAAAGTTTAAATGTTTGCCTCTAACTGTATAGAGTAATTTCATGTGAAGGTAATTTAAATGTTATGTAACACAGAAAAAAAAAAGAACATGGAGTTCCTAAAATGAGAAGACAGGTATGGCAGGTATGCATTTGGTGCAAAGTAAAAAATAAAAAAAAAAGACACAATTTCTAGTGACTGCTCAGTTTATTGGAACTGAAGAAGACCTCAAGCATATTAATTCATATTTATTAAGGAAAATATAACTCATACATAATCTAATTTCATGTCAATTTCTGTCATTTTTGTGTGGAAGTCCAGCTTTAGTGGTCTGATTGTGATAAACAAATCTTGAAATAATTTCTCAAACCAACAAAATGATTCTGGTTAAAATAGAGCAAGATATAATCAGTGCTCATTAACTGTGGTGAAGATTTGTTTTTTTCCCCTTTCAAAAAACCCATGCCTGATAGCATCACATCTGTGGCACAATCTACAATAAACTTCCCCAAATACATTTGTATGGTTCTGACTAAAACGGACAAATATAACACGCAGTTCCCATTTTTCCTTCGCTGGATCCACTGTTATTTTGTTCTGTAGTTTCGTGTCTATGCTCACTGAACATATTAAGTAGCAAAAAAGGTAAGTTATCTGTGCCTATAAAGTGATGCTATAACAGTGGTAAAAGGCAATGTTTTCTATTACAGGTCAACATATTGTGCGTGTTTATCTACTGCGGCTTATTGAATCGAGTTTCACTTTCACCCACATGCATGCCCCAAAACATAAAAATATCTCTATATCTCTCTATCTCTCTCTCTCTCTCACGCAAACACCCACACACACATCATATTATTTGGTATATGTTGAGCTGACACCCCACAGTTTGTCAGAGTCAGACACGTCACAGTAGGACTTGTTGTCTGAGTCGTCATTAACAGCCGGCCAAACACCAAGCGGACAGGGAAAGAGCTGACTTTGTTGGATGTTTTTTTTCTGCTGTCTTTTGTTGTGTGCCTGATATCTTTCATACACTGCATTATTCTTTGCATTCGGGGAGCATCCACCAAAATCCCACCCCGTCACCATTGTTTTATAGAGGACCTAGCCAGCCCCTCATCTTTCAAATTCAGTCACTTCTAAAAGTAAAAGCACACTGTAACATCCTGCTTGAAACCATGAAAGAAAATAATCACATCAAAGCCATTTACTGGGATATATGATAAGCTTAAAAGCTTTTCACCAGATAGTGTTGGCATATTGTAACTATATGTATTTGCAACACAAAACTCAACTCATTCCCAGTCTGCTTTGATTAACATCGGTAGCCTGTGGGGTATCAAACCTCATGCTAACTTCCCTGATGCTGCCTGCCAAAGTAATAGAGAGTTGCACAGTGACTGGAAGAAAGGGGGGGGGGGTAAAATCGATTAACTCTCTGATCACTTTAGACAGGAAAGCAAACAATCAAGGAAGCTATTACGAAGATCATGTGACACAGATTTCATTGGCCCAAGCTGGGGGCTTGCTGTCATAAGGAACAGGAGTTCTGGCTGTAGATGTAGATGTAGATGTAGATGCCTGCTGTTGCTCCTCTCCCTCATCCCTCTCTCCCTGTTCAGTGGCCTCGCCTCCGCCCACCCATGCAGGGAGCTCCAGACCTGGCTGCGAAGAGAAAGGCTTCTCCAGAACCTTGAGGACCCGCTGGACCTGCAGCACAGAGGAAGTGAGAGCAGGTAAACACCCTGAAAGTGAAACACTAAAGGCTAAAGTGAGCAACAGGGAACTGAGTGTAATTTAAGTGCTTTCTAATCATCATCTTGCTGCTTTGACATCACTCTTAATGCAAAAATTGAGTGCTGTAGAAACGCTTTTTCCGGTAACATTTTAATTCATTTTCTGACTCAGATGCAGTGACTGAAATGGGTTAACCCACTTCTGATTTTTGTCCATATGAGTACCATTACTTCTTATTCAGTACTGCCACCTCTGGTGAGCATGGCCACTGAGATCGAGGAGGTATGGACCTCAGTATCGCGCCCCCCACCCCCTTTTATTGGTATACAATAAAAGTTGGAAATATTGGAAATAATTGCCTAAATATAACTTTGATGTGTACCCCTTGGTCTCAATCTAAACACAGGTATCTTAACACTAAGAAAACATTACTGAAAACGTTCCAAGGGTTAGGGTTATGTTGTGCTAAATTATGCAGAATTAGGGTACAAGCCCCTTTTTGGTCCATTTCAGGCACTGATCAGATGCACAGCAGTCTAAACTAAAACAAAAGGTGGGGTAAACCAACATTAAATTGTATGAAAGTATAAGGTATTCAAACTAAATGACCAGAGCATCCCACTGGATCCAAGCCTGACCTCAGAGAAGTCTCCAGTCTCAGCAGCCTCAATTGCATTCTGGGCAATGTAGTTCCTGAGTATCACGCGAGGGTTGGTGCTGTCCATAACCCTCACCCTCTCCTCCTGCACAGCCTGCACATCGCTCTGGCCTTCCAGCTCCCGAGCCAGACGCTTCCTGTGGCAGTGATAACACAAAACACTTAAGTCAGAGAGTAACAGAGCAATGGCAGACTCAACACACCATTTCCTCCTCTTTCTCACTGCCCGCCCCCTTTATCAGTCACACTTCCACCCATCACCATCCACCCAAAAAGTCTCTTATCCGGCCCACGCAGTTCCTCCACCCTCTATTCTTGTTTTACATGCCAACTGTGTTTCTTTCTCAGATATCTGGCCTGTCTCCCTCCATCCACCTATTCATCCCACCCCAAATCTCACCTATAGCGTGTGATCCAGCAGCTCCACTCCTCTGCCTGTTTGATTTTCAGCTCTTCCTGGCTGGTCTCCATCAGGTCTTTCAGTTTGCTGAGTCTGTCTAACTGCCTCGCAATTGTCGTCCTGTCTGAGATCATCTGGAACAGCGCTGGGTTGCTCTGTGCCATAGAGAGCAGCATCGCCAGCTCACTGTCGACAGCAAACAGAGATCATAACAGTTATAATCTTTATTGGCATGTTGGAGAAAGCAAAGCACCAGTGCTGCCAGCGCGAGCGATTCCGGATTTATGAGGCAACAAGATGAACAAAACAAAGACATGATTATCTTTATGCACCGTTCTGTTCCACTGACAATGTTTACAGACACTCAGTAAAGAAGTTAGGCAGGAAATCGTTGTTGTTTAAATGTGTTATTCATACAACTACATCAGCTTTTGTCAGTGATCACAATTTTCCCTCTGTGGCTTCCAAAAAAGACCACTCATAATCGGCAGCCTTTCACACAGTAACTAATAATTTTTCTATTCTTGCAAAAACAAACACCAATTTTGTCCTATGGGTGGTGCTAAAAGATAGGACATCAGCACATCACATGCCCTGTAAAGCATGTATTATATCATGGGCATCTTAACGTACCTCTTTTGTTCATCATATGTACAATTTTAACTTTTTCTGGAAACATCACACCAATTTTTATCTTAATTTTCTCGTTTTCAAGATACTGCATTTTGTCAAGTGTTGGGACATCACTCATTGGTTTGTGGTGTAAAGTTTTGAAGGTTCGAGTTTGGTGTTACAGTCATTGCCATGTTGGTTTTTTGCAGCCAGCAGCGGTGATGTACTGCAAGTTGAGCTGTGCTCAGTGGCTGAGCTTGGTTTTACACTCCTCCACCGTAGGCAACCACGGCCGTTCAGCTGGTCACACCAGTTACCAATACGTTCTTGTATTACAGATAAACAGTACACTAAAATATGTTTAAGATATTAGGCGAGATATAGGCAATGCAGCAACATCATTTTGATTAATATTTGATCGGCAGAACCTAGTTTGAGAGTTTGATCACAGTTTTTTGTGCAGTGTGCTGGACGGACTCACTGAGAATGACTTGTCAATCACAAGGTAGCTACACTTTAAAGCGTATCCTGCTTTACTTTCTATTTTACTCTAAATGGGACCATAATTTACAAAATTTTAACAAGACTTGAAACTAGCGATTAAGACCATAAACTCATTAGGAAACTATTAACTGAGGTAATAGATCTAATGAGAAGTAGAATTAGTTCCCCATAAAACCTTGTCTATGGTAACACATTAAGTTAAGTAATTCAGTTTTTCTAACAGCATGTACTTTTTCTTCCTAATCTCTCGCCCCAAAAAGTTTCATTTTTACGTGTAATTTTTGTAATGGCATGAAATAGACAAAAACATAGTGTGTTAGTACTGTATGCAGCATGCTTGGCTAGCTCACCGTGGATCCATAGTGGGTTTGTTGGCGGCCTTGAGCTCCTCTAAGTTGGCACACTGCTCCAGCAGGAGGTCTGCAGCTTTCTTGACATCCTCTTCTTCCTCACTTTCTCCCGCAATGGGACAAGAAATCTGACTCAAGCTGCGGAAGGTGTTGGTGAAGTCAGCGCCTGCAGGAGGGGGGACAGAAAAAGTTACAATAATGGTGTGATTCATGTTTTATATGCAGCAGTACTGTATGTGTAAACTGTATTCTCAAACTCTATCCCTCTCACATTCCCATCCCACCTGTGTTGTGCATGGTCTGCAGCAGCTCAGTGATTAGGATCTCGTCCTCAGGCTCGTCCTTCTTCAGTAAGCCCAGCTTCTTCCTCATGTTCTCAAGGTAGAAGCCGTTATACAGATCCAGGTACTCGTCCATGACGGCTTCAGCCCGGTCCGGTGGCAGCTCTGGGGCCAGAGCCTCTGCTAGCTTCACCAGATTCCACCTGCAGATAGCTGGCTGGGCCTGGTAGGAGTATCGGCCGGAGTTGTCGGAGGCATTGCAAATGAAGTCCGGGTCGAACCTGAGAGGGAGCAGGAAAGTAGTTTTCAATAGCCTGACCAGTGATGGAGACTTCATACCCACAACCTGTTTATTGTGATTATTTATTTGTATAGCATAAACAAATGCCACACACGAAAACAGTTATAGCCTAAACTAATCTGCAATGCCCGTCCCTAGCTGGAAGTCTAAAATATTAAAATACAGTGTTAATTCTGCTGTAGCAAAACAAGAAGGCTCTTTTGTCAATCCCACCCATTGTGTCTGACCTGTCCATAAAGCCATATGGACCATAGTCCAGCGTGAGTCCCAGGATGCTCATGTTGTCCGTGTTCAGAACTCCATGGCAGAAACCGACACACTGCCACTGAGCCACAAGTCGAGCCGTACGGAGCATCACCTGCAGACAGGGACAAGACAGTGATCTTACCTTATTGTATCTGAATCGCAGTGCAACTCTCGGGATGCATGGATGATGTGATTGGTTACTAATTAGATGAGGTAAATGTCAAAAGTCTGCATCCGAGGTTTAATGTCTGGTTAACATCTTAATCTCATATTGAACAGAGGGCACAGTGACTCAGCACATTCAGCCACTGAATCTACAGCAGCTTAACAGGATAAGAGGATCCGAATGTTCTTGGCTTCAAACTGTAACATTAGGCCTCGATTTGGCTATTCCCCTGTTTCATTGGCTGAGTTTGTATGTTGACGGGTGGGAAGTGAGTGTCACTCATGTGCTCTGACCTCTCTGAAGAAAGCCACGTTCCTTTCCACCCTATCGGGGTAATTCTGCTGGATCTCGGGGTAAAACATCTCAATGACGTAATCCATCATCTGACCTCGGATCTCATCGCGTCCGTAGCTGGGCCCCCGGCGGCCCGTGTGCTCGTCTGTCTCCTTGAAGATCTCAAAGGATCCAAACCTGCTCAGAGAGTGCACAGCTAAGACAAACAACTCTTATGTACACATCTGGAGAAGCGCAGGGATCCTTGATACTGTGCGCTCACCGGAGGAAGGTGGGGGCAATACGGAGGACCACAGAGCATCTCTCGTGGCGAGGGTGGCCGCTGTAGTACACATCTCGTATGACCCTGCTGTCAGAGGTCACGACGGAGCCTGCTCTGGTGGTGGGCACACCCAGGAAGTACATCACCTCGCTGCACAGGAACTCTCTTATACTGGAGCGCAGGACCTTACGGCCATCAGCTTGCCTGTGGAGGACAGAATAAAGACAGATCATACAAAGAAAGGTACATTTTCCTGATGATAGAAGATGATTTGCCTTTATTAATCCCTAATGAGGAAGTTTTTTTGTATGCATTTAGAGTTATGTCACATCTCAACTGTGTCAAAGATAAAAAAATGCTAGATTCTATGTAGAGCTTTTAAATTAAAGGGGAATTCAAGTACTTTCCCATGGTTTCACATCTCTGGTGCATTTCATAAAAACAGTTAAAAGAGTTGACAGTGAGTACAAACTAAGGCCCACCTGTCTCTACTAACACTAACACATGCAAAAGAATCTTGCACACAAATCAGCAACCTCTTGTACCTGGAATAAGGAGTCAGTCCAGCTCCTTTCACCTGAATCTCCCACCGGCCGCTCGGGTTTTCCCGCAGTAGTTCGGGATCTCGACCGGGTGGCACTTTCACCTCCCCGAGGTAACAAGCCGCCCCGTCGCCCAGCTGTCCGGCGAACTGACCGAACTGGTGGCCGCAGTAGCAGTGAGCGGCGGGCTCGGATCCAGGCATAAGTTTAGATCCGCTGAGATACTCTGGCCCGAGGGGATCGATCATCACCTCCTCCCCGCTGAGCCCCAGCAGCGCCAGGGCTTCGTGCGACACCGCCACGAACCGAGGCTTGGTCAGCGGCTGCGGCTTCACCCGGGAGAAACACGCACCTTTCACCTGCCGCACCCCCGGCTCCTCCGACGAGTCCAGGGGAAGCTTTCTGAGGGCGACGTTGTCAAAGTCGAGCCGCTCCAGCGGGGAACGACTCATCGACAGACCCATGTCGTCCATCCCGACCGAACCGAGGAGTCTGATCACGGACACACCGGGGAGGACGATGCGACACGGCCCCAGCCGATGCGCTAAATAAGCCATCCAACCAAAGCCATCTGCCCAATTAGAGCCGCTGGCGCAGTTGTAATAGAAAGGTCGCTAGTCATGCTTTCATAATCCTGCAAAGTACAGCGGATGTTTGTTTCCGAGGCGGGCGGTGTTACATTATTATTCGTCCGACCGGAAATAAGCAGTAAAGGCTTAATTACTTTGGCAGAAAGTCAAATAAATGTGAAACTAAGATAAGGGTTAGCCAATAATGTGCTCATTGTTTGTTTGAATCATTATAAATACACAGCTGCGTCATTTTAATACAATAAAGTAGCAGGATACTGGTCCGTAGGAAACCTGTGACTGGGTGATGTAATGTACTGCAACAGGTTTTGCAAGTTTTGAGGCAGAAACACTTTACTTAAAATGTTTTAATAATTCATTACAGAAGTTAGGATTTTAATGTTTGGTTTGCTAACAATGACAATATCACACAAGGGTTTTGGGGGGGGGGGGGGGGACACATTTTTACAACAAATACAGGAATTCATACAGTTTTCTCTTGGCAATTCTCAAACATACAATAGATTCAACCGTTGGAAATTATGTGGGAAGGGACACTGTATTATACTGTTGAGGGACACAGAGGTATGACTACATCTTTTCTCCACTTTCCCAATATACTTATCTCGTAAAAGAGCATTATTTTACCAATTGGAAGACTTGGACTTACTTGCTAAGGTTATCTGAGTTTATGTGTCAGATGAAATGGCACTGCGTCATTCAATAAAGTCTCGAATTAGGTCAGAAAATGACCTCCTTCTATATCTCTTATAAATACATCTACATAGTTTGACTACTGTACATTAAATCACTTAAAATTAAAATTGGGAAATACCTGGAAATGTATGTATTTTTATATATAGCCTTGCAATAATATAATATCAATATCAACAAATTGGATTTATTGGGACATTTCCCAAACAACAAAGCTCCACGGATGTCATGTAGCCAATTTTTACACATGCAATTAGAAGCTTTGTACTGTGGACACAGGTCAATGCCTCAGCAGATCGAGGCAATCTGAGGGTCAAAGGCAGCAGTGATAGCAGTGTAAGGCTTGACCTCCCAACTCTGACCAACCTAAACTGTCACCTTCCTTCACAGTAGTCAAAAACAAGTCCATAAGAAACTTCACTGAGAAATCATTATGGTCAAATTCAAATCTTAAACTTGAGAGAAACTAATTTAAATTTTTTTATCATCTCGATACCCATTTCACAATCAAACTGGTGAAATGACAATGCATATATCGTAAAAGTACAAACAGCTGGTGCGCTGAATGACAGATGTTCCCATGTGGCGGTTTTTAGAGATTTCTGTACAAGATGCATATTTTTGTGTCAAGTATGTTCCCCTTACTCAGAGATGGAGCCAGTTCAAGCTAAAATGTGAAGATGCCTCATAGTGGAGGTACAATCGAATCGAATAAATACAAATTATTAATGCTTTGCTCACCCTGAGGCACATTTAAGCCTGCCCTGCATCAGGTCTCTGTTGAATGTATAAGTGATCATAAAAAGAAGGGGCTATGGTACCGTTTCAATTGAAACCCAGACAACACACACTGGAGGATCTATATTCGGGGCAGCAGTATTTATAAAATAATCATATAATTACATAGAGACAGAATTTTAGAAACTTGCATTGACCGTTTGGTTGTAGTATGTGTAAGATGCATATAACACATTTTTCCTCATTCCATTTAGTTCACCATTAGCCCTTACCGCTGCAATGTGAGGCACTTGTCTGTTGATGTGGGCAGGACTGCGCACACTGGAAATAAGTCAATTTTGTCTTTTGCTAATCGTGTAGTTTTGAAGAATTTTAAATTGCAGAAGAAAGAACAGAAAATAATAGTCAGCCTTTCAATTCAGACGTCACTATATCCACCAACTATAACAACTGAAGGTTTTTATAGAGTTCCCACACTATATTTTTGTAATTTGTTCATTATAGTTATGACTGACTTGATGTTCTACTTTCTTTTCCCTTCCCATTGGCTGCATGTACAGTACCAGGCTCAACCAGTCTCTTATAAACTGCTGGACTTGAAATGGGCCATTAACCAGAAATACTGGTTGGTAGCAGAAAAGGACGAAGGACTAAGGAAACAGAGTTAAAAAAGTGTGCATCTTGGAAGAGGCTCGGTCATTTCAGGGCAGCTGACTGAAGATAACTGATGATACTTGTCAAATAAAAGCTCTGTAAGTCATTTAAAAAGGAATGGTGGGGGGGAAATATATTCAAAAGGAATTATTGGCATTTGTAAACCAAAATGCAGGATTTGCACAAAATAAGAAAAGAAGAAGAAGAAAAAAAAAAAGAGTACTGTCATGGTTTCTTTGGCAGTACAGCCCTGCTGTGTCTACAGGGACACCTCAATACAAGGTTGGAGGCTCTTAACTCTCTGAGGTCCTCGTTAGTTCATAGTGTGGGCTGGTGACACCTTTCCTCCAGCCTCACCTCTGGGTTGATTAAGGCCATTGGTGATAGATGCATTGTTTAAATAGATCAACTGTCGGGTCATTGATGGCTTAGGGAGGACCGGTGGGGTCAAGCAGGGGGTGGCCGCAGAGTCTCCAGTAAAGACTGGACTCCAGGTAAAGTCAGCAGGGTTCGGCCTAAACTCCCTCCAGCACGGTAGCAAGCGTATCCCAGCATTCCCATCATCACACCCTTTAGGACCGTGCGCAACACCCAGCCAAAGCGCGAGGGAGGTGCAACACTGAGGGAAAGACAAAGACAGACTTAGCAACCGTGGAGATGTCAAGACACAGTTATAATACGTTTATAGTATGTGTATATATATATATAGTTAAAGTACATCTGTAATTGCGTCAAAACAAAACAAACATACCTCATGATTTCGCTAATGTTGAGCTGCTTCTCCCAGTTTTTTTCTATGCCAGGGACATGACCCATCCCTACAACTCCTACCACCACAGCAGGCACTTCTACAGAAGAGTATAACATGTTCTGTTACATAAACAGTCTACAGTTCTACAACCACATACTCTTTATATTTCTATCACTATATATGAAACCACAGATTAACGCTCAACTTCAAAAATATTTTCTATATAAACAAGCCCTGAATGTCTGGATTCCCCCTGTTTTGACAGTACATAAATGATCCAGAACAAAATGCACTACTGAGAAAGTACAATATGATTCACAGAGAATGAAATCCGGTGGTCTCACCATAAACACAAAATGTACTTTTAAGTAAGACAGTGAAAATATGTCCCAATATTTCTGTGACATATAGTTTTAAACCTTTTTACATACAACATGACTAAGCATTTCTACTAACAGTCTGTAGCAGTTAAACCACGTTGTCATTGGTTGGTTGATTACGCAACAATTCAGTAGCAAATTTGATGATAGATATACTGCACACATGAGGTTTAAGTGTCCTGTTAGAGAAAAATCTATATCAAGCAAGGGTATGTCTTTCTGACAATACATTTAAAATACAATAAAATTCAAACGATATGACTAAATTCTAACAAGTAATGTATTTGTAGAACAACAAAATGAAATAAAACACTATTTTATGATGTGTTTGTGAATGAAGCCATGTATCAACCCATATACTGTATATATACACACACACACACGGCAAACAGGAAAGAATAGGACAAATAAGAACGATGTGATTACTAACTTATTGAACAGTGTAATACATACTCTGGGCATCAGGGGGGGCCTCCACACAGCGTGTAGCCTGGCGGAGCGAGTGTGTGAGGTAGACGTCTCTTTCAGCCACAATGGTCTGGTGGAGAGTGGGAAACTCGCCGATCATCTCCGACATGGCCTGCTCCAGCAAGTCCTTCTGTTTGCACTTCTCTACGTCCTCTTTACTAAAACATGACACACAGTCCAACACAGTTGCAGGTTAGGAAGGAGAAGACTTTAGTTTTCTGCTCGCACAGTAATTTGGTTATGCACAGCTGTATACGGCCTATACTAAAGAAAGAGGAACAAACAGCCGGATACATTTTTTCTTTTTTAGGGCATCCACTATTAAAAGTCTTTATAAAACAAAGCTTATTCTTAAATATGTATTATTTATTTAAGTTAAAATTAGTCATTTTTACTGGCCTTTAATGTTATTTGAAGACTTTAACAGGATTTCTAACCTGTTACATTAAATTCAAAGCATCCAGCCCTGAATTAGGGCTGGCTAACCTTAACAGCAATTTTAAAGCTCAATCTAAAAGATCTCAGAAGACAGACACACAATCATGTTATTCAGAAAGCTTCCAGTCAGATCTCACAGATACCGGCAGTCTAAGAAATTGGCAGAGTTGCATGTGCTATGGAAAATATGTGTGGGCGCACGTTCCCTAGTTCTAAACAGAACACACAGATAGACAGATAGCCATGATGCTCACACAAATACTGTAGCTGCATTTTGTTACAAATTGCTCAAAGCAAGCTCTAGCAGTGACATTTAAACTCCCTCTTAAAAACATTTGCTTATCCACATATCCACAAAATGGAAACCTCTGAAGAGAGAACATTAAACTGTACGTTCAGAACCCATTCAGTTCTAACCCATGTGGTGGGCACAGTAATCCGTCAGCCATAAACACTTCCCACTGAATGAAGATCCTTTTAACGACCTCCCTTTTTAAAAACAGTTTCCCCCTCAAATTTAGTAATATCTTCATTTTTGGGTAAGTTGTGTAGAGATAAACGGTATCAGGATGAGGGCACACCAATCATGCGGACATCTTTAGGACATCTAAATTTCAGAATCAAGTGCACAATACAGAACATCTATGTTCTTTCTTAAACAGTGTCTAATAATAAATATTGAGAAAAACAGTCTCACGACGCTGTATGGTATGACAAAAAGTGACTAAGGTGAGCTTATACCTGATTGGGTCAGACAGAAAGCAAAGACCCCATGCCAGGCGGGCCTTCTGCCACAGAGTTAGAGCAGCAATGGCCCTCTTGAATGTAACAGGGATCGGCCTGTCGCCAAGGTGGAATTTACAGAACGGCACCCGTCCCGCCTGTGTGGACGGTAAAAAATTCCAAGATTAAAAAAAGAGAATAAAATAGACACAAAAACATAAAACTATTGCTTAAAAACTTCTTTTGTGAGTGTTTTACCTCTTTGAAGGCCTCCCTAAACTCTCCTCCAGGAGCCATGCCCAGCTGCTGCGTGATGTGAGCTGAGACTTTGAGCAGGAGAATCTGCATCAGGCCAGACATCAACCCATTCTGACAAACACAGAGGGCAGAAATAAGCATTCACAAAAACACAGATTTCCCCCTCAGTGGCCATTCTTTGAATTATAGTTATAGCTTTGAAAAACTAAGAAGAGAAAACACAACAAGTGCTGAACAGACTAGAAGCTCTTCACCGACACTTAATCCTGTTTATGCATCATATATCAGAGATATTTATTTATTCATTAACAATGAGGGTAGGATAATAGGATAGGAGCTGTTTCAAATTCCAGTACACCATTACTGCCTTATTCAGATATACAGTATACAAGAGCACTGTCTTTGTTTTATTGTTACTCTTTCTAACGCTTTCAATTCCTCTATTTCTCTTTCCATTCCCTCCTTCATCTATTTTATTGTCTCTTGTGTTTTTTCACACTACGACTATTGTTAATTCCCATCATTCTGAAATCCTGACCTGTTTGATGGCCTGCTGAACCTTATCCAGGTTGATGTCTTTGGCTTCTCTCAGCAGTGTATTCTCGTCCATCTTCAGCATAGACACCCTGTACTGGCACAGCTCCACCACCACCACGTCTGGCTGCACAGCACGGATTATCTGTGTGAGGGAGAAAATGGGTATGTAAGACAAGAGACAGAGACAGAAGAGCATAAGAGGGTGAGAGAGAGACAAAAGGCAAATGAGCAGTGAAGGAGGAAGAAAAGACAAAAAAAAAAAAAATCCATGTGGAAAAAGAAAGAACATTATGCTTGGTAAAATAGGAATGCCAACCTAATTACAGGATATACAAACAGGCCAACTAATCATCACTTCAAGGTGCTACTCTACAGCACTTATATAATACTCCATATTCACAGAATTACTCCATTATTTCACTGACGATTAACAGCATATCACATTTTTAAAAAGGGTGTAAGTGGTATAGAGTACTGTACAAATCCTGTTGTAAGTTCTCATTGGCTCACCGTGGCCACGTCCTTTTTGCTGCTGTCACTGAAGTGGGCCGTGCCCACCAGGTATAGGAGGCTGCCATCAGGGGCAGTAAGACAGGACACTGTCTCTGGGAGCTCAGGGGCCGGCTGGCGGCGCTGGGCTCGCAGCTGCCAAAGCATCTCCATTGCTTCACTGTCCGCTACACAGGAGACAGTTATTAAAAAGGTCAGAAAATTCAATTCAATTCAGTTTTGTTTCTATAGCGCCAATTCATAACAGAAG